TTGTCCTCTGAGGTGACTCATGGAGCTATGAGGAGAAGGACCAGAGGGTCTGTGTTGGCTCTGAGCCCACACTCAAGGCTCCCCAAGTGTGGGTCACTGAGCAAAATGAGGGAACACAAAAGTAACTCAGAGGAAACTCTCTGAAAAGAAAATCACAAGAAGTTTAGAGAAACCCATGATAAAAGACAATTTGGGGACATGACACAAGTAGACAGCTTCAAAAGACTCCTCAGGACCAGTCACTGTGGCCCAGCAAGACTGGCTCTTTGGAGGTCATAGAGCCCATTTCCACACTGGCCCATTTAATGAAGAAATAAAAATAGTTTGGAGTCTCAAAACCCCAATTTTAGTCCAGCCTTTGATGTCTCTCAATCAGGTTGCATCTTCCTACATCTTCCTACAGTATTTATCTACATTTACCTCCTTCGAAGAAGAGAGATTATGTTTCCTCTTCTAAGTCGTTACTGTTCTGAGCGCTCCTTCCTTCTGCACTGGGGAGACTGCTTTGTGCTTCATTCAACTGGTTAAAGTCAAACTTACCACTCCATCACCTAAAAAAGTTATCAATAATTCTCACGATAGCAATCAGTGGCAAGAGCACTTCCCAGCACCCATCCATGTTCCAGAACCCTCTTTCCCTCTCACCGTGTCCTCCCACCTCTGCTTTCCCCTCTCTGGATTCTGAGTGTCTCTATGGCCTTGTTTATGAAACTCAGGGGGTGGGTGATGATTTCTTTTGTTTGTTTATTTTTTAATAGACAACTATACCAAAGGAAGACCCAGCAAATACACTTTATTCCACTGTGGAGATGCCAAAAAAGTAAGGAACTTTAGAGCTGAGTTTCTTCTTACTCGTCCAATCCCTTTTCCTGGTTCATGTTTAGTTTAAAATTTCTTGGGGCCCAGCGATCTCATAGTCTGTGGTATTAAAAGGTAACACAGTAGTTACCCATTCCCTTGGGGTTACACAAGAAGGGCATTGTGTTTTAAGAGTCAAATGGGGGTAATGTGAAACAGATAGAGTAGAAGAAAGGCTGTTGATAGGCATGACAGAGAAAATCAAAAGCCTTCTGACTGAGGTCACGGATGAGGAGAAAGGCCTTGGTTCAAGTTATGCCTGGCTAGAGGAGACGGCTGGGGAGGAAACCCTAGCTTATTCCTGAGCCACCAGTAAACTGTGAGAGGAAGAGATTTCTGCTTCTTTTCCTTGGTCTAGTTATGTTACACCTAGTTTTCATCCTCCCCCAGTCAAACTATGAATGTGATAAGCTTTAAGGCTTATTCCTTCACATATCATGCTTGGCAGAAGCAATGCTACCTTCCTGTTTCCTTTCCCTCCCTCTCCCAGACAGATCTTTAAAAATGGGGATCGTTAAAGCAGTTTGCATAGTTATAGAAAAGGATGGTTTGGATGAACTATTATGAGGAAATTTCAGTCCATTAAGCATTCAGCAAGATAAATATAGGTTAAATTTAAAGAATAGTTTCTCCGAGTTCAGAGTGGTTAAACAGTAGGAGCAAGCATTGCCAGAGGTTTAGGTTGGGTAGTTTTGGAAATAAAGAGTGTCTGGGTCAGCAGGGTCTCTGGGGAGATCCAGAGCATTGCCTACCTGCAGCACTCTTCTTCCTTATGAATGCCTGCAGATGGAGAATCTCCACTAACTCCCCACCGCTCTAGATATACAAAGGCCGGATACCTATGAGCACATCATCTAAAGAGCAGCATACTCTCTCAGTCTCTTCCTGAAGCAAACAACCAAAAGAATTCACTTATTTAATCAGAAACATCAAAGAAGAATGAAACATTCAACCTCCTTCCAGAATCAACCATCCTCTATGCTCCTTCAGATTTAAGTGTGGAGTAT